AAGAAGCTGTCACACAGTAAATAATAACAATAATAAGTTTAAATGCAATTACACTGATAAGCTGTTACACAGTCTGAAAAAAAAAGATAAAGTGTCAACAAATATACTGCATTTTCCAAATATCTTTGTTTCTTATTACCAAGTAACACACCCACTTACAAATGAGCTGTGTTACTATGGCTATGAACAAGGTTAGACATAAGACAAAAGCTTCAATCAGAAACCTAGAACCTAGAGACAGAAAACAAAGCTGCCTCAATGCCCAGAAAACTGAGCCAATCACTAATAACTGAAACAGCTACTGCTAAGTTATTTAAATAAAGGCGGGGGGACATACTCTACAAGTCCTTCTGAAATGGATCAACAGTGCTATAAAGAAAATAAAGTAACATTCAGAAGGAGAGTACCCTTAGATAGTGCAATTGTACAGATGAGGCATAAACTACAAGATAAAAAAAATCACTATACAGAATTCACATAAATATTACCAGCAACATATGCAAGACATTAAAATGTTGTTTTAAACAATAGTGTAAAATTTAAAAAGGCACTTCATATAAAAATGAATGGAAACGGTATTTCTGTGTACACACAGTAAACACAAGAAATCTTAGTTTCCACAAACATTTTACATCTAGTCAAACAATGACATTTTAAAGAAGGATCATTAGATGCATCCCTTTCAGGAACACCACATCACTCAACCTGTGATGATTGAGAGGCCTCCGAGAAAACCCAGCGATGTTCAAACATCAGAGGCTGGTCTGATGGAGGATCCTGGCTTTGCACATGGCAGACATGACCTGAAAACCTGTTATCTGACTAATTATGAGTTCCAAACACTACTGCGGCTGTTTCCCTAGACCAAGTCCCCATTTTCAGTTTTATAACACCATCATCATTCAAGTATGCCAGAGAGAGACTTTAAAATAGCAATAATAAAAAAACAGGTTAAGGATATTGTTTCTTCTGCAGGCAATCACATCACCTACAACTCTACTGCATTCTGCTCCACCCCCATGCAATGGCCACATCCTTCACAAGTCAGCTACCTAACCATGATGATTTCTCAATACGTTTTCATTTTTAGCGAAGACCTATGGAGGTCCTTGGGCATATCAATCAGAGTGGGAAAGAAATGCTACTTATCTTGTTGCTCTGGAGCAACAAACGTAATGCAGAAGGAAGACAAAAGAAACACTGCTCTATGAACAATGAGGAAAGGAGGAATACATCAAAGTGAACACAGTTAATTCTACTCCAAGGTACACTTAAACTGGTTACAATGGTAAATTTTACATTGTGTCCTTTTTTAAACATGATTAAAAGTAAAAAGTTTCAAAGCAAGAGCAGGTTAGGTGAAAATGCCAGAGCAATCTCAGAGAGTCAGGTCTTCAAGCATCATTAATTCTGGTTTGAATTTTGGAAAATCAACAATCTCAAAAATCATCAAGTTTGTGACCCAGCACCTAATTCAGGGAATGGACGGAAAGAAATGGAGAAGCGGGAGCAGTGTGATGAAGCCTCAGCTAACTGGGAACGCCTCGGGCAGCCATCCTGGAGTGGCAAGGTCTCTGTCTCTCTCAATTTCCCACGGCTCCCCTTTCACAGAAGAAACTATAAGGTCACGGCAAGGGCACATGAGGCTGCTGAGCTAGTGGGCCAAACATCGTGAACTATTATCATCTTTGTGTGATTTTTCAGGCCTTTGTTTCTTTCAGCCATTTATCAGTGCTCTTCTAGGGTTCAGTTTGAAAGACAGCTTCTTTGAGCACGGGCTTCAAACAGCGTTAGTAAAACTTTGTGAAAAGTACAGAAAAATTAAAGGTAAATGTTAACTCTAGATATACCCTGACCAAATTTGCCAAGAGAAGACTATCAAGACTGCAACTTTAAGCTTCGTCTACCAATTGGACAAACAGAGTCAATTATAAATTATCCCTGAAATTATCTGACAAAATAAAGTAGCTTCCAAGTAGGGATATATGCATCTTTGACCGCTACAGCACACACAAGGAAAGGAAGAAAGGCAGACAAAAAGCATGCTGAATGTGGTTATGACGAGGAGAGAGGATGGCCTTCCAATTAGCCATTAAAAAGTGGAACACCAGGAAAACACCAGTCATCACTATGCAGGCAAGACAACAGAAACCACATAAATGTGAAAACAGTGTCAGAGTCCACTAACAGTAGACCCAAAATACTATGGTCAAGCAGATGGAAAAAAATGCAGATGTTTAACAAACCAAGACATTACAAAATTATCAGTCTGTTGATAAAATTGTTTTCTATTTGGCCAAGCAAATAATACTGGATGATGTATTCAGACCCCTCCAAATTGGCATCTTCTCCATCTCTGAAGTCACGCTGTGAAGACAAGGGTCTAAGGGCTGGGACACCACACAGCCACTGCCTCAAGATAAAAATACCACAGGATGTTTAGCTTAGGTATCTGCGGCCAGTTCCAGTCTGATGGAGAAACAGTACCTCAAAGAGCTGGGGACAAAACTGCAAGTTGTCTCTCATGGTAGAGTATGACTAGGTTAAGGGACTAACAAACCAAAAGCACATCACTCAAGTCTTGACCTCAGACTTTCAAGATGTCGCTAATGGGATCTAGAAAGGGGAGTGTGAGAAACGTTCTCTTTACTACATCCACAGTTACACTCTGAATCGGAAGGATTTCTCAGTAAAATCTAGACTGATAGCATCCCCTTATTACAATCAGAGGACCAGACTGTCAGGCATGTTTGGATTCTTGCTCTTTCAAGAGTTCAGATTTTGCATGCCGAGACGGTGTAAAATCCTTGATTTCCAGGGCACTAATGTGCAATCTCTCTCTTTTTTCTTTGTATTTAGAGCTTGATGAATCATCAAGCTCAAAGTTTAGAAAGCAGTCAAGGTCATCTTGGTGAAATGTCCAGATTATCCTGCAAGAACACCATGACCAGGTCTCACAGCTTGTTGATGCTTGACAGACTTGGGAGTGACAACTGCAGAAAATTCTCTATGTAGCTCTGGGTGGTGAAGACAGTTACTGTGAAAGTTTCTAGAATATCCTGCCTAGGATATTCTGTTCTAGGATATCCAGCCACACCACTGGTAGGGACTGGATTTGGCAAATTTTGATTTGAATTCCAGTTCTTGACATATAGCTTCAAGGCTGATTCTGAAGTCTTACAGAGATTTGACAGTAGCAGGGACATTTGGTGAGCTGACCACCCTGATAGAGAGATTAAAACAGATTTGTCATTTTGTGGACAAAAAGATCTTTTGTGAAGATCTGACAAATGGAAGCCTAAACAAGGAAGCACTGATGACCTAAAATGAAGGATCTGCCTCTGGTGTTAGAGATAATAGTGGATTATTTCCAGATCCAAAATCTGCTTGCCGTCAATTTATCAGTGAGTTTTCTGAGGGGGAAGAAATCTTTATATTTTTCCTTAATCATAAAAGGATTTGGATTCCTGAGGACCCACCTCTAGACTTATTTTGGACTAGAAATAATGTGTAAACCTTTGTTTAATCCAACTGAAAGTCTCTACTGCTCACATGGTCAAGAAAGCATGAGTCTCTGTATTATCTACTTCATTCCCAGAGTCTAGAACTCGATGTCAGCTGTGATCGTCGCAGACACGTGTCCAGTTTCCTGTGGGGGAGGGAGCATCGTGCATGGCTGCACTGCAGACTGTTAACGGGGCACTAATTCTTGTACCCGTGGCGTTCTGGAGAGTCTCCCCTCTTTCTGTATCTATAGGGGTGGTTTCGAGGTTTGTACCAGTCCCCTCTGGAGTATCCTCGATTGTGGTAATGTGCTTTCTGGTCATGACTATAGAAGTATCGATGCTGGTTATAATATCTACTGTGGTCTTTATAGTCATTTTCTTTCACACTGTTTTCTTCTGCAACAACAGCATTCACATCTTGTCCAAAGAGGCAAGTGCCATCAAAGGGCAAGTGTGAGATCTTCTCCTGGGTCTTCTTTGTGAGGGATGTGAGCCGAAGCCAAGCCTGCCTCCTGTAGTCTACTGCCATCGCCATAACTCTGACCACAGAGTCCATTATGTCCCTGGTAGTACACAGCTGCCAAAGGCCTGCATCCATGCCATCAGATATGATACATCGTGCCTTTCCACGATCAAACTCAGGGTCATGGACCAGGTCCTCCATGTCTTCCCAGAGTTTACGCTGATACTGCGTCATGTAGGCCATGTAGCTGGCAGCTCGGGCTGCAATGGAAGCAGCGTGGTAGAACCTGCAGCCCATGGCCTCCATCTCCTTTGAGGTGGGGTCCAGGGGCGACGTGGCGTCTCCTCTTCTGCTGTGCTCTAGTGCTGCGACGATGGGGCCCCCCGCTGGGGGATGTGGCTGGAAAGGAGAGGTGTCCTTGGCCACAGGATACACCCTGTGTCCCATGAAAGAAGAAGGGTGGCAATCAGCAGGGTCTTTAAAAACCTCCGCAGTGGCAATTCTCAGAAGAGGATGCAATGGAGGGACCAAGCGCTTCTTGGAGGTCACACAATCAGGCTTCCCCTCACACAGTTCTGCTTCTGACTGCAAGGTGACTCTCTTGATAACACCTCTCTGCTCCATTCTTTTCAACAGCCCTGTGAAGCTGGACTGACTGGGGTCAGCTGGCTGCCCTTTGTCATCAGCCGAGGGGGACTTGCACTCAGCCTCTTCCTCGACTGCGGATAAGTGTTCTTCTCTGGAGGTAGAGATGTCCCAAGGAACCGAGGAGGCCTCACCTGTCCGGGAATGATGAAATCGAAAGCAGCTCCTGGACTGCAGGTCACGTATCACTCGAGACATCTCAGCCACCTGTGTCTGGAGATAGAGGAGGGCATCCTGCCCGTGCTGGGAAGCTGGAGACTCTATGGGCAAACCCTCCTTGACCTCTGAGGAGGCCAAGGACTCTTGGGGGACCAGGAGTGGAGATGGAGGCAGAATCTGGTAATTCTGTGACGGCTCAAGTGTCTCTGTCTCAGAGATCTTAATACCTGAATTACTGTGATCATTTCTCTGGGTCTCCAATGGGTTCTCAACAGAAGAAGGGTGAGAAACCATCCTTTGAGGACTGCTGGCGCAGCGCCCAGAGGAGGAACTGCTGTCTCCACTGGGAGGAGGAGCACTGCAGCCAGAGCACATTTCTGGGCGACGACTCTCTGAGGATGGCACCTTAGACTCAGGCATTCTCTGGGTTATCCAGGTGAACAAGAGAACCAAGGAAGAAAGAAAATATGCTTTTAATATGTTAACTTTCAAGTGCAGAGATGCATGTCCAGTAAGTAGAACTCAACTTTTTAATTATAATTAACAATGAAACATACAATTCACTTCAGGTCAGCAAGGGGATCACAGAAGTCAAATCCACAAGTTTCATTACCCCAAAGGCCCAATACCAACTACTGGCATTAACCTGGCACTCTGTCTATGAAAAAAGAGCAAAAACAAGCCCAGTTCAAGGGGCGCCATCCTAGCCTGCTGCTTATTTCCATTTTAGAATAAAAACTAACAGGACTACTGATGAAAATAGTTTTTTTAAAAGTCCCACTGAACAAGTGTAGGGCAACAAGCAGAAGTTAATAATGGCAGAGAGAACATGGGAAAGTTCCACTGAAAAGTCCCCCATTGCAGAGACACTTTGAGGTCCCTTTAAAAATTCTCATTCACTGACCATAAGTAATGAAATTTTCCAGGTGGGCAGTTCTCTACAGTTTGTAGTTTTCAGGAGTTTTGTAACCTTGTTGCATCCTCACAACAACCCTGTGAGGTAGGTTATTATTCTTATGTGATAAAGAAACTAAAGTTAAAAGGCTACTGATCCAAATTCACAGAATAGTAAGGAGCTAACTGGGAACTAAAACCTAGGTATTTTGATTGTGAGTCCAAGTCCCAATCCCTTATATATCATAGGCCACCCTGAACACACAGCCAGGAGTCCTCTAATCCATCAAGAAAACAGTTCAGTAATAGAAATTCGGGCTAAGACAAATACAAGACAAGACTGATACAGATAACTCAGTTACTTTGGTTCTCAGAGTAAGGGAAGGATTAGTTTAAGGGTCAAACACACAACCAAAAAAACCACAGTTCAGAGAAAACCCCAAATATGAGGGGGAGAGGCAATTAAAGGGACAACGCCTGAGTGACCCAGCAGCCTTCCCCACTCTCCATTTCTAAAGGAGCTTCTCACAGCCTTTCTTCCAAACAGAATAAATATTCTGTGGCCACGTGGTTCTGGAAGAAAAGGATTCAGTTCTATAGGGCACCTGAGGAAAGCCAGGAAAGGAAAAGGGTGCCCCAAAACTTGCAGTTTTATTCCATTTCCCTTTCATCAGATACCACCTTCAGGGCTTAGGACCTTCCTGTGTCATGTAATACTCTCACATCTCTCTCAAAGTAGAGGAAGAAAGCTGGAAGCAGACCTTCCAGGCTAAGTTCTCCCTGGACTGCCTCTCAGGGCTATTCCAACAGAAGTGGGCCGTCTCCTAAAGCACCATAGCGCCTGAACACTGACCTGACGACCCCCTTTACAGGACGTCTGTGAACTGCGAAAAGTACAGAAACACAAGTCAAACGTACTCACCTCACGTTGAGAGGTGCTAGGCTCGTCATCATCACTGCTGACCAGGTCGATGTATTCCAGAACAGGCCTCAGTGGTCCTTCCTAAAAGAGAACCAACAAATTAACAAATCATGCAGAGCTACTCAAGCTAAATCAGCATTTAAGGCAATGCTTTTTGTTGATGTTGGGACTGACTGGTGAGAACTCTTCTGAAGAGGAAACGTTATGTGTGGTACAAAATCATCAGAACAAATGCAGAGGAAAATCCTCAGAGTCCATGACTACTCAATGTAAAACCTGAAAGAGCCCAAGCCAGGAAGGGTACTGGGACTGTGCTGACTCCTTGCGGAGAGGATTAGTAACACGGGAACGGTGCTGCAAGGGCACAGATACTGTAAGCCAAGGCTTTTCAGATGAGATGGGGATCTTTGACTAGAAGCTGGGCTGTATCTCAGACTCCTGCAGTCACACATCAAACCTGGTTCTCCTTCATCTTTTCTTTCCATCCACTCTGACTCTACCATAGACCAAGTCTTGAATACTAAACTTCAAAAGCCTAGATCTTATTCTATAGGCAAAAGGCAATCAATAAGTACTAAGACGGGAATAACATCAATCAACAGAGAAATATGGCAGCAAGAAAAGCAGGAGCAGGATAATTTATCAGTCCACAACATAATAATGCAAAACTAAATAGCAGACATGGCAAAAATAACGGAAGGGCTTCTTTTGTGGCTCAGACGGTAAAGGATCTGCCCACAATGCAGGAGACCCAGGTTCAATCCCTGGGTCAGGAAGAACCCTTGGAGAAGGAAATGGCAATCCCACTCCAGTATTCTTGTCTAGAGGACTGCATGGACAGAGGGGCCTGGCAGGCTACAGTCCATGGGCTCGCAGAGTTGGACAGGACTAAGCGACTACACTTTCACTTTCATGGTGCAGATACAAAGGTGAGATGGAGACAAACATCAACAAATGGTCAACTATGAAAACAGAAGTCAGAGCTGTCTCTAAGATTTCAAGCTTGGATGACTAAACAACAGTCACATAAAAGGTACAAATCTAGAATATGGAGATGGAAGGCTGGCATTCTTTTGGCCATAATGGGCTGATGTACAATTGGCAGACAGAGGCAACTGGCAGACAGCTGGAAATGCAGGCCAGTAATCTGGGTAGAGGAACATTACTGAAAATGCAGACTTGAAAGCTGCTCCCCTAGAAAATTATTAACTCTAGAACTACACTGGAACTATGATATTACCAATGAGAGCAAAGAGGACAAAGAAGAAATTCGAGGAGGTTCTTGAGGAAAAGATGGAATTTTAAGATTTAAGAAAAGCTAAGTAAGTAATCAGAGATCTAGCAAGAATCAGGAATGCACAAATCCAAAGAACCTAAAGATAGAGAAAACCTCAATGAAAAGGTATCAATGCAAATGTGGCCAAAAACACTGAGCACCAAAAAAGGGAAAAAAAGCCACAGATTTTAGAAACAAGACTTTAAAATGTCTTTGAGAGCAACTTTCAAGAAAGTAGTGAGCATACAAGTCAGACTACAACAATAAGCAGAAAATGAGGAGCAAAGGCCCAGAGTGATTATTCTGTCAAACATTCTGTTGGAAAAGAGAAAGGCATTCAGGGGAGAGTGGGGCTGGGGAAAGACTCCTCAGGCTGGGGGAGGCGGCTGTTGGGAAGCCCAAGTGAGGTGTCCAGTGGGAAACTAACAGAAAAAGACCTGGGGTCAGGAGACAGAGGATAACATCTAGGTAAAGATCCTCTCTCTGAGACACGGTATCCTACAGACAGCTTGCTTCTCTCCCAGGCATCCATCCCTCCCCAAGCAGGAGAGTGCTTTCCCTGCAGGGGGGTAAAAGTGAAAGTGAAAAGTCGCTCAGTCATGTCCAATCTTTGCAACCCCATGCACTATACAATCCATGGAATTCTCCAGGCCAGAACACTGGAGTGGGTAGCCTTTCCCTTCTCCAGATCTTCCCAACCCAGGGATCGAACCCAGATCTCCTGCATAGCAGGCGGATTCTTTACCAGCTGAGCCACAAGGGAAGCCCACAGAGGGGTGATTCAGCTGCTAAGATAAAACCAGACAGCAAAATTGGGCAGGGGTCACATGATAAAGTAATCAGGATCTCTGCCTAAACTGTAAAAATGGACATTTAAAAAAAGAGGGTAAGAAGAATGTTCTCCTCTGTGGCATCACAGAAGTGAATCACCTACTTTAAGACCCAAACCTGCCACTTGTTGTAAGACTGTCAAAGTCATACAGTCAAGCCAAGAAGGTAGTGGAGGAGAAAAACTATAATAGCTTGCTCTCCTCAAGAAATGTGTATTGGCAACTTCATTACATGCCCACTGGGACAGCACACCAAGGAAGTCCCTGAGCTACCAGAAGCCAGGAACAGAGGCTGGGGCAGAGCTTCCACGGAGGCAGAGCAGGCAGAGAAAACAGGGCGACGACAGGTAACAGGGCGCAAAGCACCAAGGGACAGGCAGAAAACACCGCCACCGGGAAAACGGTCACAAATGGTGAAAAAGCAGCTGCAGAAACAGAAGAAAAGGCAGGAATAAGGAGAGATGAGAGCAGCAGCAATGTCCCCCTGGGGTCAGCCACAACACTGACACGAGCCCGCTCCTGACCTACTCAGCGACGATGACTTAGGATTCCCAGCAGAATAAAACAATCAGGATGAGGCCCAAAAATGAGAAAAAGCAGGGGTCATTTATTCAATCACTCAGAGTGTCACAGAGTTATAAGTGACAGAAGGGTAGAAGAAGACAGCATGTGTTTGAGACCCCAAAAGGCAGAGGCTGAGTGGAAGAAACAGAAGACAACCATCCCAAGGAAAATACTACTTACAGACACTCTACACTCCAGCTCACTTTTACAGTGGATATGGACAAGCTTCCACCATAATGAACCTAAGGAATCAAAACCCTTTGGCACTGCATTTATTTCACTCTAATTGGGAACATCTGTCACTGAGCCCCATACAGGCAATGGTGTTAAACTTTTCATGTATACTGTTCCATTCAATCCCCCATTACTTGACTTTTACACCATGTAACGAAGAAGAAAACTAAGTGAGGCCCACCTGGTTCTGTTATCACAACGCTGGCTGTGTGGTCACATTAATTCTGAGCCAGTCCGAAGTACACACACTACTTTTATTTATTTAGTTAGTTAGTTAGTTCTACCAGTTTATTGCTACCAACCCATCTCCCTCCAGCCTTGTGCACACATGCTCAGTCATGTAATCCCATGGACTTCAGCCCACCAGACTCCTCTGTCCATGGATTTTTCCAGGCAAGAATACTGGAGTGGGTTACCATTTCCTTCTCCATACACACTACTTTTAAATCAATACTTATTTCCTAAGTTTCTAAGATAAGCTACTTTTTCCTTTAATATGAGGAAGAAGACTACCTGCTCTTGTTCCCAACTGTGAATAACTTATAAAAGTGACCAAAACATAAGTTATTAATTCTCCCCAAACAGTAATGTTTATAATACAAATATTAAGAAAAGGTAATTTCTTATTATGTTTACAATGGCTGCTTACATCAAAAAGTACAAACGCATGTGGTTCTCCAATCACAAGGTATTTTTTTTCTTAAATTTGTTCCATCTATCAACTCTTTCCCTCCATATCAGTAACAAAGTCAAAGAATTCTATTCCAAGGCCAAACAATTTAGGGGCAGCATCACAGGCAGAAGCAAAACAGTTGAGGAACACGGTTTAATATTCTACGGTTTAAAAATATTTTTAAAGAAATAAAAAGCTTTCATCTTTAATTTGTTTTCTATTTCTTTAATTTCGTACCTGTATGAGATGACGTTGCTGTTTAGTCGCTAAGTCCTGTCCAACTTTTTTGCAATCCCCTGACTGTAGCCCACCAGACTCCTCTGTCCGTGGGATTTCCCAGGCGAGAATCCTGGAGTGGGTTGCCATTTCCTTCTCCAACAAAGCTTTCATCTTGTTACTAGAAAACTCATCTCATACAAAACCAAAATACCAATTACCTACTAACTGAAAAGTGACATCAACACACTAAAATACAGTCTGCAGAAAAGGTAGGTAGTCTACTTCAGTCTAAAACAAACAACATGAATTTAAGCACAGATGCAAAAATCTAATCTGAAACCCTAAATAATTCATACATCTTCCCTCACACAGAAAAGTTCCAGACATAATGAACTTCTACAAGTCCTGCCTGATTCAAACATTTCAAATGATTCCCGAATGTGTACTTTAATTCAAATTTAGTCCACAATTCAAAATCTATACTATCTGTCCCAACTACCCTTCTCCCATTAAAAAAAAAAAAAAAAAAAAAACTTATCCTCCAGAACTAAGCACAATTGTTTTCTCATTTTGATGACTTGCTTCTTCTCAAAATACCCTTTTAAACACATACAAACACGAAATGCTCCCTGTGCAAAAGTAATAAACTGAAAATCATGTCTTTTTTAATAGCACGTGTACTTTTTTTTGCACCATGTACTTTTTATAAAAGAACTCTCTCCTACAATTATCTACAAAGTCCTCCTCCCTATCTCATCTCTTACACTGAAACACTGACACTTATGAGTAGGATTTATTTCCAGCTAATCTCTGCAGCTCTAAAGTACTTCATTCAGGACTTGACATATTATGAGCTCCAACATTTCTTGAGCTAGTTACAACCCCAAGACACCCAGCCAAAAACCACCCTCATTATTTGTCCAAGACCCCTTGAAATAATTCATGAAAATATACCTGGATTTTCTTCCCTATTTCCACATGGTCAATGATTCCACATTACACTAATCATCTTGGCTGAAGCCTAAACCTCACGTGCTGTTACCAACATTATAACAGGCTGCCTCAGCAATTCTGATACCTTCGTATCTAAAGTATATCTTTTATCTGTGAAAGATCATGTCATTAGCCCTAAATTAACACAGTTCTCTGGGAATAAATTAACATATCTGCAGTTTCAAAGGATGCAGAGAAATAAAGATAATGGCTGAAAAGGGGAAATATCACTAAATTAGAGAGAAAATTAGAGCAAAAAACTTAAATGAAAAGTGTGTATCGTAACATCTGAGCTTCCCTCATAGCTCAGTTGGTAAAAAATCCGCCTGTAATGCAGGAGACTGGGGTTCGATCCCTGGGTTGGGAAGATCCCCCAGAGAAGGAAATGGCAACTCACTCCGGTAGTCCTGCCTAGAGAATCCCACAGACAGAGGAGCCTGGCAGGCTACAGTCAATGGGGTCGCAAGGGTCGGACATGACTTAGCGACTAAACTACCACCTTATGATAACATTCTGTCTCCAGAGTTAAGCGCTGTTTACACAGGTGTGCTGGCTCTGAAAAAATCAGAGGTACAGTTACGAACTGTGCAATTCTCTGTATGTGTATTTCAATAAAATTTAAATGAAAGGGCTCATTTTTGCACCTCCACATCTATAGCATTCCTTTCCTTCAGCCTGCTAAGTTTAGTTTTAAACTCTGCACTTTTCAAACCACACAAAGACTACTGTGCCACTAGGCAGATACACACGTATTAAAGATGGGAGAGTTAGACAAAGAATGAACTAATAAATCGAAACCACAGTAAATCAAGAAGAAACCTCACAGTGTGCTTTTTGTATCTGAAAAAATCTTAAGCACAGAACTAGTCATTATCTTTATTGAACAAGCAATACCCAGTGCTGTCATATATAAGACTGGGTTACAGAGTGAAGTAAAAGATTCTGTTTCTAACGTGTTTTTATTGTCACTGAAGTTTTATCACCAAAAAGGCAGAAGGAATGTTTGTAACAGGTTTCTTCTGGTACTGTAATTGCATTAACACATAAAGGTCACTTCTGTATTTGGAACTAGCAAATCTTTGAACTTATATTTGGAAAGAGAGATGAATACAAGAGATACCAAGTTGAACACAATTATATTGGTTGTGTATTTTCTATTCTGGATACAAAGATAAAACAGACCCTCTACATTTAAAGTAATATTTAAAAGAATATTCAACTTCAGATTAACACTAGCTTATATCAGGTTCTGACGAGCTACAATTCTCCATTTGACAGAATACCTATATATATATATATATATATAAATATATATATATATATATACACACACACACATATATAAATCTTATTTTTGTAGAGTCCATCTGTGACTCTCAAAGTAAGCTCTGTAGTTCATGAAGAAGTGTGTCCCTCTTTAATTTCCACAAAATACTAAAGTAAATATTCTCCATTCATAAATTTTGCCATATTCAGGGAGAACCTGAAACATTTATCCTAAAGAGCCAATCATACTTCAGAGTTCAATTTCTTCTACCAACATCCCCCAAAACTTTATAAATTTAAAATGAAAACGACACCATACCACATGGATGGGCAAAGGCAAAAAAAGCCAAGAAATGACCTTGTGAAAGATTCCTAAAGAGACCCACTGAAACACAACACAACAGATTATCACAATGGTCTAATGTTGGGGTACATAAAGGACACTGTTTAATAACCAATCTTTCAAAACTAAAATTGCCCAAGAACCAAAAAACACAAATACACATCCGACAGGGAATTAAAGAAAGATTGTGTGCATGCATGCTTAGTCGCTTCAATCATGTCCAACTCTCTGCAACCCTATGGCCCATGGCCTGCCAGGCTCCTCTGTCCATGGGATTCTCCAGGCAAGAACACTGGAGTGGGTTGCCATTTCCTTCTCCAAAAGAAAGATTATACACCTTCAATAACAAAACTTCAACTAACAGCAGAATTCAAAAAGAATCCTTTACAGTACAATTCTCCAGCTAACAGATAATAAAATACTACTTTAAGCATAATCTTTATAAAACTTTAACAGTTTGAAGTGGAAATTATCCCCAAATACATCACAGCACCTCCTTTGGTTACTGCAACTAATGTTTTACTAACTGTGTTCACAGCTTCCTACACCCCTGAACCAACATGAAGATTCCTGGGCCCCACCTACAAATCCTGATTCCATAGGTCTGGAGTGGGGAGCAGGATTCTGCACACTTCCACTCACTCATGCTTGAAAACTGTCAGAAGGAAATAAACACAGAAAGATAACAGGATGCTCCTGTGATGCAGGCCCCTCACTGTGAACCTGGCCTGCGGGACTGTGATGTAGCAGGGTGAGCTCAGAGCTCAGTGAGGTCTTCAGGGCACCTGCCCCCACCCTACAGAGACACACAGGCTCTGATGCTGACCTCCGGCAGCCCGCCTCCTTCTCTTCTACCTCCTTCCTCATCACTAGCTGCCCCTTCTCCCCAACCTGGGGGCCATCTTTCAGAAGTTACTCTGGTCTCAATTCAAACACAGTCTTAGGAGAACCCTGCGCACACCAGCGGGTCCACGTGCAAAGGAGAGGGGAAGGTGTGATCCAGGCTCCAACAGGCCAAAGGCCACAGTCTCTGCGATGGCTGCGGGGGCGGCCGAGATCTCTCTGTGGGCAAACGCTCTACTCCTGTGCCTGCTCCACGGTGTCCGGTCTGACACCCACTCCTGTGTCCTGCTCCTCAGTCTCCAGTCGGTATGAGACGTCCACACGTTTGCCGGACGAAGAGTGAACAGGCGAGGGGTAATCACATCGCGGCTCGTCACGCACAAACCCTGACTCGGAAAAACCCAAATACCGCTGCTACTTACACTCACAAACTGGATGTCATCTTCGTTTTCCTCCACGGTTGACTCGGACGCCTCAGGCCCAGCTGGAGGGACACATTCTAGTATCTATAAAACAAGCCAAAACACGGTTATCCAGACAGCCACGGCTCGCAGGAGGCGAGTTTCCCAAAAGCAATGAAAAGGCAGAGCTCTCGAGGAGACCGCCCGGAGCCCCCGCCCCCGCGACCCGCCGGAGAACAGCGCGGGCGCTGGGGACCGCAGGCCCCCGCCGGCCCCTTCTCCCGAGGAAGGAAGCCTGCCGCGGGGGCGACGGGCCTCGGAACCCGCGCCGCGCCCGGGCCCAGCCGCCGCCCCGGGGCCGGGCCGGACGGCCATTGTTGCCCCCGGCCTACGCCCCCTGGCCCCCAAGCTCCGGACCCCGGGTCATCGGCCCCCAGACCGAGTCCGCACCCTCTCAGGCCGAGTCCGCACCCTCTGAGTCCGTAGCACGCCCGGCCCAGCCCGCCACTCACCTCAGACCCTGGGTCTCCCATCTCCGCGACCGCCCGCCTGCCGGCACTCGCGCTGCAGTCGCCGCGCCCGCCTCCCCCGCCCGGCCGGCCGTCAGCCCCCAGCTGCCTTGACCCGCCCCCGCGTGACCGTTGAGTCGCCGACTATGCCGCCGAGCCGCCGACGCCGCGAGCGTAAAAGGATGCACGCCGCTTCCCGGGAAGAGCAGCCCGCTAGGCCCGCGGCACCCAGCCTCCCTCGCGCCGCCCTGGCTTCCCGCCCCCGGCGCAAAGACCGCTGAGAACTGTAGTTCGGGCCAACGCCCTCGCCGCAAGGGCTGCTGGGAACTGTAGTTCCGCCCACACCGAAACCTCCCCTCCCCCGAAGAGGTAGTGGAACTGCGCGGGGAAAGGACCCTAAAGCTTGGAGGGCAAAAGACCCCTCCTGCGCTTGAGGCTGACGTCACTGCCGCTAGCCGGGCGGAGGACTGGCTGCGTCCTGTTTCACAGGGAAGGGAGGGGACGAGGATGGAGGGGAGGGCCTAGGCGTGGATTCTGTGTGGTTGTGGGAGCGAAGCTCACTGATAAGCGTTAACCGTCAAGGCTGAGTGTTAATGCAGCCCTAATTTATCACTGCTTTCTTTTTCGACGGGTCGGAAATCTGGTTGTTTAGCTGAAGACTAAGATCAGAATAGAAGTCTGAGACAGCCTTACCCTGCTCACCTGTTCGCCATGTCAGCCGCCACTCAGAGCCTGTATTGACGCAGCTGAGGAGGAAGTCTCGGGTTGACCTGAAGAAAACTGGCAAGGCTGAAGAACCCCGACCCCGTACGTCTGGGAGCCGAGGTCCGGCCAACTGTATTTTGGGCCCTAGACCAGTGATACTATATTGAATTATAAAGATATTCTCAGGTAGTATGTTAGTGAAATAGAATAGTTGACTGTTTTCCAGTGTTCACACTCAAAAAACCTGTAAAATAGTACACTTATGTTCAGATATGTGTTCTCATTTTCTTCACTTACTGCCTTAGCAAAGAGACCCACTCGAAGGTTTTGAAAAGAATTTAAGTTGGAAAATTCTTTTAAAACTTAGACGCCTTTGTTGCCGTCTGCATGCATGCCCAACATCTGATTACCTATTACTGGCAGTAATTATCGCTTAAATCTGTACTTCCCGCATTTCCACCATGACTTTATGACTTCAGTTGCTTTTATACTTCATAAGTTTGAGAATTTGTAGAGGCAAATTGAAAATGAGAGACCTGCTTGTTGTGTTTCTCAAAAGTTGTATGTGAAGTATTTCTGAAATTTTTAACTGTCTACACAAAATTTTTATTTAGAATTCTTCTAACGTGCTTCGGAGAATTCGGTGGAATATTTACTTTAACTGTTTGTAGGTAGGAGTTAATGGGTAAAATTTGGAAAACAAGAGCCCAAGTATGAGCATAACTCTTCAATCCTTTTCATTGCAAGGATTTATCCTGAGGACATAATCTGTAGAAAAATTGTCATGCAAAATTTATTTATCACAAATTTGTAATAGAAATCAGAAAACATCTAAATGTCTAATGACTAGGAATGGAATGATTAAACTTTGGCATGTACTTGGCTCAGAAGTTAAAAGAACCTGCCTGCAATGCAGGATACCTGGGTTCCATCCCTGAGTTCTGAAGATCCCCAGGAGAAGGGAATGGCTACCCACTCTAGTATTCTTGTTTGGAGAATTCCATGGATAGAAGAGCCTAGCTGGCTAAGTCCTTGATGCTGACCACAAGAACATAGATCTTAAACTGGTTGAAACAAATTGGAGATGCTTGAAACTTCACCTTGGTGCCTACCAATCCAAGAACTGTCCTTGAGCTGGTCACTTCCTTCTCCTTAAACACTGAAACTCCTCACTACGTCTCCCTGGGTCGGGTGGGGGGAGGGTGGTTCAACACAGTCTTGAGGGCCTTAGTGCACTGTGGCCCCTTTTGCCTGGCAAAGCAATAAAAGCTACCCTTTTTTACTGCACCCAAAACTGTCTCTATGTTTCTCTTTGGCATCAGTGAACAGAGGCTGAGTTCTGGCAACGGAATTCTGGGGACTCATCTGGGATTGACTGGTGGGCAGGTGGTCCTGTGGGGCTCCTAGGCTTGATTGGGCTGAGTTTTTCTCCAAGCCAGCCTCCTGGGCCGGGGACAGAGGGTGGTTGGGAGACTCCTCTGGAGGCCAAATGGCCAGGCATTCCCCCACCACAGGGCCATGTCCCAGTCACATCCAGACTGCTGTTTTGGTAGCTGGTGTATGGGGCAGGGATGGAAGATATGAGAGAGGCTTTCCTAGCAGCTGCCAAAGTTACCTTTGCCTTGAGGACATCCCCCTCCGCTGCCCACAACAATCCTGACTTCCTGCTGAGAAAATATTCTGAGGAAGGAGAAAAGTAGCATTTTGGATGTCATGACACCTCTGCCAGCACTTTGGTAAGTCCTCTGGCATACACTCTGAGGCCACTTGATCTTGTCTGTTTGGTGAGCCTTCTGTTCCCTTTGGATGATTTTCTTCATCCTGTTTGTAAGGCACCACTTCTACTAAGGCCACAGGCTTAGGGGTACTTGGAAGCCAATTTGAGCCTTGGGCTATTTGAGTGTTTTGCTTTTTCTTTTTTTTTGCTTTGTGGCTTCTGTTTGGCTGGCAAGGATTTGGTTTCCTTTGGTTTTGCCAGTGAGTGTATATTAATAATTTGACTCAACATGGGAAGTGTTTCTTGAATTTCATCTGACCCTAGGAAATTTTTGCAGACTGGTCAACCAATAATTATAAACTTATAAATAAGGGAAAAAATAATTTAACATCATGTGGTCACAATATTCTTTAGGCTACAGATGAAATTTTTGAAATTCCAAAACTTGTTCTTTTTCCATGTGCAGTTAGAGAAAACTAGCTTGATAAAATACTTTTTTTCAGAACATTGACTCTCAGAGAATAAAAATATTCTCAGAAGAAAACCTGAAGTTAACTCTTATCACGTCCTTGAAGTATAAAGACAGCCCAATTTTCCTGGGACTTCAGCCTTGGGATACTTAGTAGAACTTTCAAGCCAAGGGGAAAAAAACTAAGGGGGAGAAAAAGATTTAAAATCAAACATGTAAACTTGACTATTCTGTTATTCATAAACTAATACATTTAATTGCAATGCCTGATATACAAAACAAAAAAAAATGAAATGAGATCTCTATTTGTCTGTATATATGTATCTCTTATGTTTCTTTGTCTTTGGATAATATTGCTGGGGTTAATGTGTAAATGAGCTCTACTTAATTGGCTTAAAGAAAAGTAAGTGCTTACAAATGAAACAAATCTAAATTTACCTACTTGTGTCTTCTTGAAAGAGAGAAACTAAGGATGTTTGCATTTATTAAACATGTCTTGTGCCACTTTGAGAAAAGAAATTATGCTCTTGGAAAATACATGTTTTAGAGGTTTTACAGAATATGTTCTTAAGTTTGCTAATCAGAGAATGCCAATATGACAAACAGTTCACAATTGCTTTCTTCTTGTTTCTCACTAGAGAGTAAGTGTTTTTTTAAGTGTTAAAAATGACAACACATAATTAAAGCTACCAAAATGATACGGGAAACATTTCAATATGTAAAGGAAACAGGAAGTGAAGTGAAAGTCGCTCAGTCATGTTCAACTCTTTGAGACTCCATGGACTACACAGTCCATGGAATTCTCCAGGCCAGAATACTGGAGTGGGTAGCCTTTCCCTTCTCCAGGGGATCGTCCTGACCCAGGAATTGAACCCAGGTTTCCTGCGTTGCAGGTGGATTCTTTACCAATTGAGCCATCAGGGAAGCCCATGTAAGCAGGAGATGGCTGCAAAAGAAGGTATGAGGAACAGAATTACATTTTAAGGGAAAAGGAAATAAATCTGACTTACAGGTGGCTGTTTCTGAATGGAAAAATAAAATAAGAGATACAGAGAGTGATAAAAAGTTTTGTGGAAAGTGGACCCCAAGAAAAGTATTTTGTATATAATACAAGTTTTCTTGAGATATTGAACGACCTTTGATAATAGACTGTAAGTTTCTTTACCTCTTAAGTGATCTCTTCTATATTTATCTTTGAAATCTTTCATTGTTACTTTGGCTGAATGAGTAACTACAGTTTTACAGTGACCTGTGATCCTGTCTCACTGAATGTTCTAAACTCTGATATTTTTTGATGAAACAGCCTAAGACCAAATTCTAATAAAGTTCTTTTGACCTCTAGCTAACTTTGGGATGCTTCAGTGGCATCCCAATGTGCTCAGTCCACCAAGTTCCTCTATCCATGGAATTTTCCCAGCAAGAATATTACAGTGGGTTGCCACTTACTACTCCAGGAGATCTTTGACCCAGGTATTGAACTCGTGTCTCTTGTGTCTCTTGCGTTGGCAGAACTGGCAGGCAGATTCTTTACCACTAGCACCACCTGGGAAGGCCCGAGGCCTCCCAAAGATAGATATTAAACTAATTAGGTTCATTTCATATGTTAAAAGGCTTCCCTGATAGCTCAGTTGGTAAAGAATACGCCTGCAATGCAGGAGACCCCGGTTCGATTCCTGAGTCTGGAAGATCCCCTGAAGAAGTGATAGGAAGGTATATGGGAAGTACTGTCAAATAAGTAATCAATCTTCTCAGGTTATACTGTATTGTGAATGTTGCCAATACAGATAATCTAGAAATTGTATAGAATTTATAAAGATCTGATATGCCCTGGTAAAAT